GAATGGTGCGCTGTGATTGGTTGTTACTGTTTACAGTGCGTGGGATGGTGCTCTGTGATTGGTTGAGCGGATGTATCGCATTCTGTAGAGAAGGGAGACTGGCGTTTGTCGCGGTTTGGAAAGATAGGGAGAAAACATGACAGAATAGCACGGCGGATATCGCATTTTGCGTAAAATTAAAAATGGACTTTTCAATACCGACCAGATACAATACTGATTTTGGCGGGAACTCAATTTGTTTAAAAATGGCGTTCATCGCGTTTTGGAACCAAACTCTTCATTTGTTGTATGTACATTTATTATATTATGTTAACATAAAAAAAGAAAGATTTTTATATGATATAATTTTTATAATAATTATTAACTATTATTACTAATAATGAATATATTTAATATAATTAATATAATATAAGTATTAAAGTATAAGTTATAACTATTAGCAGCAGTAATAGCAAAGCTTGCCTTATTATACATTATTTATAGTATCATCATAAACTATCCACATCAAGCTAATCAAATTCTGATGAATTAAAATACATTATGATCTGCTATAGTTTCACAGTGAACTGCTTCAGATCACGGAGGTAAAATGTGACCGGAAATTTACAAAATATCTTCATGGAACACGATCTTTACTTAATGTCCTAATGATTTTGGGCATAAAAGAAAAATCAATAATTTTGACCCATACAATGTATTGTTGGCTATTGATACAAATATACCCCAGCGACTGAAGACTGCTTTTGTGCTCCAGGGTCACAAATGTGTTTCAAACACACAAATGCAGATCAGATTTTCACTCAATGCTGTGGCTGGAGTCACTCACCCGCCTCTTTGCTCTCCGTCGCCCCTTGCTGCTCGTCCAGACGCAGGTCGCTCAGCAGGTGCTCCAGGATCTTCTGGGGCGTCCCGGACACCACCACGTACCTGCGGGACAGAGCAGAAGAGGAAGACTCGGATAGGTACTCGTCCTCAGAGGAGGAACACGTCGAGCAGGAGCCGCTGTTAATAACATAACCATCATCCTCATCCTCATCCTCATCCTCGTCAATGTAACGAAAATGAGGAATGTCAAACGTGGGCATTTCATCCTCAACCTCCAGACTGTTGCTGTACTCCCAGTCTTCATCATCACAGTCATCCTCCTCTGCTTGCACCAGTGTGACGGGTCTGAGTTTGAGGAAAGTCTGCCGGTCCATTCCAGGCAGCTGCGTGCTGCGTCATGCCCAGCGTGGTGGTCTGATCCCGGGCTTCAGCGGCGATCGACTCCCCCTGAGCTGCTGGACAAACTCACACCAGCCTGACAAACACGGCTGATGCAGCAAAACACACAGATTTGCACACAAACACCAACTAAGAAGTCATGTTTACATGCACACGCAAGTTTTAGGCTGTCAGCGGTTCCTGCTCAAGCTGTAATGAGGAAGAAAACATCAGGAATGTGTTTGAGAGAGAGAGAGAGAGAGAGAGAGAGAGAGAGAGAGAAGCTGAGTCGGACTCCACCCACAACCCAAACATTCATAAAGAAATTGACAAAAATCTGAAGTATAATTGTGGTTAAAAAAAACAAAAACATATTTGACCTCCAAACCAAACTCCAGTGTTATTCAGCCCTAAATAGAACCACCATTTATTACTTATCAATCAAACAATTAAAAGAAAGACAAATGAAGAGTTTATTTGCAAAAACAGATTTAATTTTCATGTTTTTTATTATGTTATCATGTTTTTATTGTGTTTTAATGTGTTAGTTAGCTGTATTTTTTACTTATTTTTTGCCTAATCAAAATACCCGACTGCAGTGTGATTGAAATTAATTCGAATGCACAATGAAAAAACATGATTTTTGAAAATTGTTAAAAACGCAGTTATCTGTTTTTGCAAATTACCTCTTCAACTCCTTTCAAAATATCGACTCAGTGACCATGACTTAGAAATAAAAAAATTATTTGTCAGCACTAATCCATTTGCTTTATTTGACATTCTTCATTGTATATAATTGCAATTATTATAATTAATATTAGAAATACTGTCTGCTGTTGTTTTTATTTTATTTTATTGTATTTATTTTCTCTCATTTATTACTAATTTATTGTCTCCTTTATTACTTTGGTGGTGTAAAATATTCGGTATTTTACACATCTAAAATGCTTTGGCAATACTGTAACACAAATGTCATGCCAATAAAGCAACTTGAACTTGAACTTGAGAGAGAGAGATTGATTGGAGGAGGGGCGGAGCTTAAGGATATGTAAAGAAAGAGGAGGGGCTATATAAAGGGGCGTGGTCTCACCTCTTATCGCTGTCCTCATCTTTGACTCCGGCTGTTTGCGGAGACGCTGGATCTGACGGGACTCTCTGGAGAACCAGCACGTCTTGACCCCTCTCCTTCAGACAGACGCGCACGACGCCCTCGCCCTGCGCCTGAGAGAACGACACACAGCCGAATCACTCACTGAGTCACAGCAAAAACTGTTACACATCAAAACACAATGCCTTCAATCTGACTGAAATAGACATTGAAGAAATTCATTCAAACAAATGAACATTCTGTCATTTAGACTGGCTATGTGAACTGAATCAACTGAATCAACTCAAAAGAATGAGTCATTCATGAATCGTTCATAATACTCATGAATATGTTAAGAAAAATTAGAATGAATATCAAGATCTTCAGTAAACACTATTTAAAAAAACAAATCAAAACACAATGGTTATCTTACTTAAAATAGATACTGAAGAAATAGTGAACATTCAGTCATCGTTTAGACTGGCTATTTAAACTATTTAAACTGAATCAATTGATTCAATATTTGACTCAAAATGAACCATTCATCATTTACTCTTAACTACTTCTCATGAACATGCCAAGAAAAACAAGGACATAATTACACACAATATTTATCTTACTTAAACACTGAAGAAATGTCAGTTCATTAAAAAAAAAAACGAACATTCTGTCACCTTTTATGCAGGCTATGTGAACTGAATCAACTGATTCAATATTCAACTCAAAAGAATGAAACGTTCATGAATAATTCATAAAGTAACGGTCCATTCATTTTGAATTATTTTAAAACAGTATACAAAAAAGACAATAAAATATCGATTGAAATATGGCAAACGTTGATTCTTTCGTGCAATCAAAAGCAATCAGGTTTGCATGCAAATATATCACAGCGTGTATTTCTGTCGCCAAACCCGACAAGTTTCCACATGCATTTCTGTCACACTCAAACTCTCACTTTCAGTTTCAATTAAGCAGCACGTCATTAGGGAGAAATGAGAGTCATTAGACTCAGAATCTCAATCCTGCCCACGAAAATATACTCCCCCAAAATCAAACTTCACCAATCACACAGAAGTGCTTCATCAATTTGGCCTGGTCCTCTTACAAATATCAAATGAACTTGAAATCAATTCTTGCTAAATGATCTATGCATTTACAAATTAATCAAAGGCTAACTCAATCAGTGTTTGCTGATGCTCCATGTGTTTACACTCTTAAATGTGTAGTGAGATAACTATATTCGCCTCAGTTCAAGAGGCTTGTGAATCAATGATATTTTCCTCTTTAAAATTTGCAGCACGAAATAAACATGAATAAATATTTGAATGCATGTTGAAAAAAATCAGAACAATTTAATACAAACTAATGTCTCATGAAATCGATCAATTAGAGTTTCAAAAAACGTCAATAAGCAATTTATTGCTGTTTTTCATGTTAAATGTGAAGAATGACAGGTTGGATGCAAAGTACAGGTGGAATTTTCACATTAACTTCACGCAATATAACATGATTTTACTATCGTAATTTTGACTTTATTCTTAAAATATTATGATGTTAATCTTATTTAGTTTTTTTTTCTTCAACGTGGCACTAAAATGCCACCGTAGGCTATTTGTACGGCATGCAAACACAATCTTAGCACAGAAGTAAAAATTACTAAGGAGATATTTTAATTATTTGTTAATGAACTAGTGTTTTCTGAGTCAGTGTCGCAAAGATGAAGTTGACGATCCTGACACGCCATCTCCCCAGGACGCGCCTTTAGAGAGAAGTGCATATTTACGGATTACATAATGAAAGAGTTTTTGTATTCCATTTGAATTATTTCGTTTCATAATAATTTAAATGTTCTATAGATATATTTATCATGTCTGTAAGGCAAGTATTCGCCAAGTTTCAGTTCATCATTGTGAAGCGCTTCTGTTCAAGACCAAGACGACAGAAAGCGCATCCTGTTTGTTTTTATTTTACAAAAGCACATGGTTTTGTTGATATTGTGAGTGCACAAAAATAAAAGTAGACCCTTTACAGTTCCGAATGATGTATTACTCTTACCTTTCTGAGCAAAAATTCTGTGTATTTTAAGTTTCCACTCTTAAGAAAAAAATACAAGTGATCGCGCTGGCACCTCTGTGTCCTGCAAAGCGCGCTTTAGCTTCCACTCTCCGCACAAACGATCAAACATATGCTCAACTCAGTCTGCCACTGGCCGCTTGGCCATTACTTAAAAAAAAATTTTTTTTAAAAACATAAAATGTTCCAAACATATTTCTAAATTATTTTAATAAATAAACGAAAAATAATATAACCACTTTGCCATTAAAAAACAAAACTGGACTAGCCTATTTGCTGAAACAGCAGCTGTGTAATGGGGAAGAGAGAGAGAGAAAAAAGACACAGGCTCGGGCCGAGAATTCTGATAAGCTGTCGGACAAGGGCCGTGCTCTATTCATTCCCTCGTTTCAATTAAAAGTTCCTCCTCGGCTAGGCGGGCGGCCGGGCCCCCAATATGCCCGGGCTCATATGCACCTGCATACCCTGCATGCCCAGACGCTACGCCACTGTGTTTATGTGTGTTTCCGACGAGTCTGGACAGCAGTGTTTGAGGAAGATAAAAGACAGGAAAGGGATTAGGAATATCTGAGACGTCTCTCTCACACACACACACACACCTGCCGCACAGGTGAGAATCACCACACACACATTCAGATGCACAGCGGTTTGTTGCACAAAAGAAAGACGCACATCCGTGGCATCAGAAGGCTTTGTGTTTGAAATCCGGCTTGCATCACAGACTTAATGTGGCCTGCAGGTGCAGATACTTCAAATACTATACACTGAAGACTTTTAAAAAACCTGTTCTGCGACATGTTGAATAATCACAAATAATCACAATAATTTTGCAATTAAATCAAGCGACATCTTGAACATCTGATTCATCAGCGCACATCATTTTAAGTAAACAAAAGACTAATGCAAAAAAAGTAAAATACAGTAAAAATCGATTTGAACATAAGTTTTTACTTCACACAATGATTTAATCATTTTCATTTATATACATTCATATACCACTACATAAACAGCACTTATCTGCATACACTACTGTTGAAAAGTTTAAGATTTCTCTTCTGCTCACCAAGACTGCATTTGATTAAAAATACAGTAAAAACATTAAAAATGATTCCAATTTAAAATATCTGCTTTCTATGTGAATATCTGTTAAACTGTAATTTATTGCTGTGATCAAAGCTGAATTTTCAGCATCATTATTATCAATGCTGCTTCATATGTTTGTGGAATCTTTGATACATTTTATTTTTCAGGATTCTTTGATGAATAGAATGTTCAAAAGAACAGCACTTATTTGAAATAGAAATATTTTATAACATTATAAATCTCTTTACTGTCACGTTTGATCAATTTAATGCGTCCTTGTTGAATAAAAGTATTAATTTCTTTAAAAAGAACCCCATATTTGAATTGGTAGTGTATATATTTACAGTTTTTTAATGAAATAATACTGCTCTGAAAACGGTCATTTCAAAGCAAATACATAAATATTAATACTGAAACTAAAAAAATTTTAAGCTACACAAAAATATACTGTGCAAATAAATCACAATGACAACAGGTAAATTTAGAAATGACATCAGTCCAGATGTCTGTAAATACTGGTGTGATCAAAACGAACATCTGCAGTTTGAGTCATTAAAACAGGACTCTTATTAAAAATGTAACGCCTGGAGACGGCTTATGGTAGAGAAATGAACATTCAATTCACGGGCAACAGCTCTGGTGGACATTCCTGCAGTCAGCATGCCAATTGCACGCTCCCTCAAAACTTGCGACATCTGTGGCATTGTGCTGTGTGATAAAACTGCACATTTTAGAGTGGCCTTTTATTGTGGCCAGCCTAAGGCACACCTGTGCAATAATCATGCTGTCTAATCAGCATCTTGATATGCCACACCTGTGAGGTGGATGGATTATCTCGGCAAAGGAGAAGTGCTCACTAACACAGATTTAGACAGATTTGTGAACAATATTTGAGAGAAATAGGCCTTTTGTGTACATAGAAAAAGTCTTGAGTTCAGCTCATTATCAGAAGCTTTTATCAGCTTCACTTTAGTTGTGCTAGTTTTGGCATCTGTGATGTAAACGAAACATTATTAGCCATTTTAAACACAGAACAAGTCCTTCAAATACATTCCAACCCAACTTCCTTTCCTCATCAAGAAATACGTCAACATGAAGCAGCAAGCATTTCATGCAGTCAAAATCTGTGAAATGTAAGAAATGACCCCTGTGTGTGACAACAGCCCAATGCTATCGACACTCAAACCGCCCACAGGCTTCCAAACCCTGGACAAAATGTTCTGGAACATGTTCACTAAAATATACAATATCCGTCAGCAGCTCAAACTCTCTTCCATCACCTTCAGTCGAGAGAGACGGTGAGCGATGATTGGTCACTTCAGCCGCCCTCCCGCGGAGCAAAGGATGCTGGGACGCCGCAGGAGTCGTCTGTCAATCCCCAGCCCGCCGGGACGGGAAACAGATGGATTATCTGCATCCAGACAGACACAAACATGACCTCTGACCCCCTAACAAAGGTCACGACCTCCTCGGAATTCACTGTTACTTCACCGGAATTCAAATTCCAAAAAAAAACTCCTGAAGATTCCAAAAATACTTCCAGTCTGACCGCAAATTACTCAAACCGGAACAAACGCGGAGTGTTTCCCAAACATTCCCGAGACGCTCCGAAACAAGCGCGGATATCAGATGGAGTCTGCGCTGCTCTCCCTGCAAATGTGTTTATAAAAAACAACGCTAATGAGATTTTACTGCAGTTACGCAATTCCACAGAAAAACACCTACATTTACGAACAGCAGGCCAGAGGCTGCTGGGAAAAAATGTTGGCGATGCAAACGATAACAAACAGTTTATCTGCAGTTTCTCTCGAGCCTTTCCAAAATCAACTATTATGTGTGCTCATATTTAAATAGCTGGCAGTGAGAGCGTTACGTAACAGAAGCGGTACATTGTGAATGTTTGAATGAGTCTCACAGGATCTGTAGGGACGCAATAATAAAATTAAAATAAAGCATGCCTGTGAGGATGAATCTGGACTGAAGATGCAACAGGAAAGTCGATTATACTGTTTGGCGTCATATTTAACCACAGAATGATGAGACTGACCAATCAGAGTGAAGTATTTCAGAGATAATGAGGGTTCAGCGCTCAGAACCCAGAACCAGCAGCTAAAGCAGATTATATCATAACCACATCAGACCTTCCCATCCTCCAGTTCCTGTAGGAAAAGCCCATCTCTGCTTCTCCAGGACGTTACCTCTGCTCTCTTCTTCCTCTCAGTCTTACATGTCCAGTACATTTATGCATTTGGCAGATGCTTTTGTTGAAAGCATTCAGGATTTGCATTTTATCAGTTCATGCATTCCCTGAGATTCAAACCCATGATCTCAACACTCTTCTTCAGATCTTTACATTTTTCTTTACCCAACATGATCCTTTTTGAACATCAGTCCAAAAAAAAAAAAAGATTATATGGTTTGCACAGAATTTTTAAAAAGTATTTAAAAATCCTTTTTAAAAACTAATAATTTAATAAAAATGTTAAATGCAATCTTAAGAAAAAAAAAATATATATAATACAATATATTTAATAATGTAATACTTTAATTTGTTTTTATCTATTCATACTGTACATTATAATCTATGATTTATTTGAGTGTTTAGTGTTTGATTTTTTATTCATTTAGAATATTTTTTTTTAAAGAAATAAATACTTTTATTCAGCAAGGATGCATTATAATATAATGTATATATAATATAATTTACACTATATAATATAATATTACAAGATATTACAAATATAATGTTACAAAATATATTATTAACATTATATTTGAAATAAATGCTTTCTGAAGGATTCTGAATGATTTCTGAAGATCATGTGACACTGAAGACTGGCGTAATGATGCTGAAAATTCAGCGCTGCATCACAGCAATCAATTACAGACATTTATTCATTCACACAGAAAACAGTTATTTTAAACTGTAATAATATTTAAACATTTTTACTGTATTTTTGATCAAATAAATGCAGCCTAATAAATCAGCATATTATATTGATTTCTGAAGATCATGTGACACTGAAGACTGGCGTAATGATGCTGAAAATTCAGCGCTGCATCACAGCAATCAATTACAGTTTAACATTTATTCACACAGAAAACAGTTATTTTAAACTGTAATAATATTTAAACATTTTTACTGTATTTTTGATCAAATAAATGCAGCCTTGGTGAGAAGAGACTTTTTCAAAAACATTACAAATTAATTTTTAATTGCATCTTTAAATGCTTTTTTTAATGCTTCATATGCATAATTTCTTTCTTCTTTTTTTTCTAAGAAAGAGTCACTAGCAAAGCGGTTGCATTAAACTACAGACTGCATTGCTCCTCAGTTAATGACAGGTGTGGAGGATCAGCGGGACAGAGGTGTGTGTTTAAGTCTCCACCTGTCCTGTGGGTCAGGGGTTGAGGTTGGTTCTCACGCTGGGTGGAGATCGAGTCTAGAGACCTCAGCACAGAGAGCACAGGAAAGCCAAGAGGAAGCACTCAGTGTTCCCTTCCTGCGTTTCTGCACAGAGAGCGATAGTATGTATGTGTGTGTGTATGTGTGTGTGTGTGTGTGTGTGTGCACTGCATTTCCTTAATTACACCAAAAAGTTGCACAGAAAACTCCCATGATCCTGGAAAAACCAAAGGACACGATCTTTACTCTAAACAATGCAGCAGAACCGAAACACACCAAACAAACTCCACCTAAAGTCACAGCACAAGCCCTGCTCTCCGTGAGGAAATCCTGTTACGTAACTATGGGAATGATTTGATCGCAAAGATCTTTTTAGGAAAAAGATGGATGAATGAATCACATATTCAGGAATTGACCTTCTGTAAGCAAAACTGGAGTCTCCGCGTCTCCAGACATCATCCTGGTTTACGTAAGGCCTGAAACCACACGGTCATGAAGAGGGAAAAGAAGCAATGCAACACTTCTGTTCAAATCAAACATGAGATGTATAATGTGACTCCAATAACAGCGACGGATCTGGAGAACTGTATCGCTATCAGGAGACATGGAGAACATTACTTTAATGCAAAGCAGTTGGTGTTCTCTCTTTCAGAACAAAAGCTCTATGCTTGACTAAACCCATTTTCAATCAAAACTAATGGCATTTTGGCATAATTGTGCCAAAATTCTAAAAATTAAAAAAATCAGTCATCAAAGACTTAAGATTATTCTCCTGTGACATCAGCTTATACAACTCTCTCTGGTTCTTCAGAAAGCAGGACTCCAGAAGTGTTTTAGAAACACCTCAACAGGTTGCTATCCGGTGAGTTTCCTCACCTGACCTCCTCATGTGACCCCTGACCTGCTGTCGCCATGCCAACAGGCTCAGGTGCGAGCGAGGGCTGTCCTACCTGAGCGGAGCGGTCCGGGAGCCGGTAATTCTGGTTCTGGAGGAAGCGATAGCCGTCTTTGGCCAGCCGCTGGACCATCTCCATCCGCGAAAAGTCATCCGGAGCCCGGAGAGCGCAGACGCCCGCCTGCTGCAGAGAAAACAGATACTTCAATCCACAGTCCCACGACATCACAGTTACTGCCAGAGACACGGAGAACACACATCCATGCTCTCGCTCGTTCATCTGCGTGAGTCACTTTCCTCTGGAAGAGACTTGGAACGCATTGAGAGTGTGTTTGAGGGACAGAGGGGGAGGGGCGTGCCTGTGTGGCTCCGCCCACCAGAGGCGGAGACAGATGATTGACAGCATCTACAGTACACCTTAGACAACAAGAGAGACTTTGGGTGCTTTAATACTTGTAATCATATTTTTTATTTATTTGTTGTGGAAAAACAACTATTTTTGCATTTTGTACAAACAAACACCAATATTGTTGTCATTATAAAATGAGATAAAACAAACTAAAACTATCAAAAACATAAATAAAGCTGAAATAAAGCTGACTTTAAATAAAATATAAAAAATAGATGAACAACTTAGAGTAAACAAAAATAAAAAATGCTTCCTTGCCAAGTAACTGAAATAAGTTTAAGCTAAAGCACTTAAATTACTAATTGGAAATAAATAAAAACTAAAACTAAACCAAAACTGAAATTAAAAAAATAATAAAACTTAAATAGCACTACAAAAAAACTAATAAAAATTACAAAACCACAAAATCACTACAAATGTAACTAAACTTAAACAAAGATCCTTCAAACAAATATGCTAATGAAAAAACTGAATCAAAACTAAAAATTTAACTCAAATAAAAACTAATTAAACTTAACTAGTAATATTTTAAAAAAGAAGACAAAAGTACAAAATTACTAAAAAAATTAAACTCAAATTAAACTCAAAACTGAAAATATGAAAATAAAAGTTTTATTAAGATTTATTCAAAATATTAATTAACCTATAATGGTAGTTTATGTTGTGTTTATTTTAAATTGTAAATTCTTATTTGCATTGATAAAAATACTGAACGTAAAACAAATAAAGTAAAACTTAAAGCTATATAGAAATATTAACAAAAAAACAAGGATATGAAAAAAGCATGTAACAATTACTAAAACTACAATGAAAACTGAAAAAATATTTACTTTAATTTAATTTACAAATGAAATAATGAAACATTTTCTAAACCATTACTTTTACATTATACTTTTATATGTATATTTAAAATATGACAATAAAATAAAATACTAAAATAATTTAAATAAATGAAAAAGATTTATTTTTACAAAATAATTCATATAACAATAATATTCTTGCGTAAACAGTAAAGAATTAATGCAAGAACACAACAGCCACAACATTCAGTTCATCAAGAAACAGCACACTTAAACAGCATGAATCTTGTATATTTTTGCTATATCATTCAGTAAGACACACTTAAAATATCAGGAGAACCCTAGCGAGTAAGAGGTGCATGCAAACAGGTCTGTGTGACTTGTATTGTCTTTATTTAACGTGAATATGGAGTTTGAGACTCAAACTGAATGTGCAGCGCTGACAGACGATACTGCAGAGCAGAAGATAACGAGAGCCAGACAGAGCTGTTATTACCTTGACTGTAATTATGGGCTAATGAGCGTCCACTAACCACAGAAGAGAACTAATCAGATCCCAGCCTGCTTCACTACACACACACACAGACACACACACACACACACACA